ATGAGTAATTCTTTTATTATCAACAAAGGCATCATGATGACTGGGTATGATTGATTTTTAAAAGGTGAAAGATGGTTGTGTCATCTCTGGGCTTAGAGCTTCTGTTGTTGTAGATTGTTAGCACTAGGTATTGTCTAGTTAAAATTGAGCATAGAGAGGTGTATGACCAAAACATGGTGTAAGTTTTATCTTGAATATAACTGTTGAACTTAACTCTTTGAACTGGAATTTTCTCTGTTTTTATTCAATCACCATCTTAGGCTACTATCTTGTAGAGCAGTGCCTTTTCTTCAGATCTGGTTCTGTCTGTCCAAACTAGTTTCTTTTACTTTTGTTTCATATCTTCTTGCCTACAGATACTTAGCTGGCAGAGCAAGCTCAGCATCACTAAGATACATATCTAGGTCTTTATTTCTCCCCGCTTGCTGCAGAACACTTTTATTATGCTTTTTACTTATCCATTTATGCCCACATAATTGGTGTCACTTTTGCTGGCACTGTTTTTTAGGTCATCGTATTTATGCCTAAATCTAAATTTGGGAAGCTAATCAGAAAGTTGTCTAGCTTAACATAAGCATAGTATGTTTAAAATGTAATTAAATCAGGGACCTAATGCTTCTCCAGGTGAAGTGGCGTTCTGGTTTGGCTGCAGAAGGTTATCTGCAGTTTGAGTGACTACATTGTGCCAGTGCATTAATCCTGCTGCCCTGCACCCCTTCTGCTTTCAACATGTCCTCTTGCCTGTATTGGTGTTGGTCCCACAGAGCACTGTGATCTCCCCGGCTCTCAGTTCTGGGGGTGCTTAGTAGTAGGAGATGAGTGCTAGCTTGGTCTGTGTGACACAGACAGAAGGATGAGGTGTTCTGGGAAAGGAAGCAAACTCTGGAGCTGCGTGGCAGGGTAGGTAGGTTTTAATCTTCACCTAAGAGAAGAAATATTAAGTAATTGCATGTGTATTTTTATTACTTAGTTATTGATAGTGATTTCAAAATGATGTTAACTACATTAATTAAAATCTACCGCAGATCTTGCCTAGGTAGCATCTGTCAGCTCTGCTACAACTTTTGTCTGGGCTCTTCATGCAAGGAAAATTTTTTTCTAGCTTATGATATTGAGTATATAACTACTTTTTTGTCCTGCCCCTTGCCCTTCCTCTTGTAGTGCTTAGAAATGCAGTTGTCTTTGCTTTTCAGTGGTTTCTTAGCTTGTCCCTGTCCCATTTGATTTGCTTTCTCTTCCTTTGCGTCTGAGATAGTAGTTCTACTTTCCAGTTGGGCCATGAGATTAGTTCCATTATTTTGCGAAAGTAGTAAGAGTACCCGTGTAACTTTTCTCATGCAGCCCCTTTTACTTGGGAGGAATTTACTGTAGGTATCCACAAAACTTCCCCACCGTACCTTTTCAGCTTGACCTAAGCTCCAAAAAGCTCCTTCACAGCAGATAGTATGGTGGAGACTTGGTTTTGCCTTTTTATGCCAGCTAAGTTTTTCTCCTTATTTCTTGGAAACCTTCAAAGGTCTTCTTAAGCTTTACTTGTCTTTTCATATCTTCTGTTAGCTATATCTATATCTGGTTATCTGTATAGTGCTTGGCTTGTCTATAGCTAAAATATATAGAACTCAAGGGGAAATAGTTAATTTTTTTTTTCTTCTTCCTCTCTTAACAGTGTTTTTATTTCTCTTTAAAAGAGCTACCGTAGCCCTTTCCTGAAAGCTTGAGGGTAGAGCCTGTAAATGATGGACAGGCAGATTTGACAGTAGAGATACGCCTTTTTTCTTAACTTTTTTTTTTTTCCTTTAACATTCTTCAAAAGGTAGGTCTGGCAATCCTGTGGGCTTCAAAAGAATTAGGATGGAGCAGTGATAAACTGTGGTAATTGCTTTTTAACTGTGTGCCAGGCCCATACATGAAGAGGTGAGGCATTTTGTGTATTGCTTGTGGATAGTTTGTGTTTGGTAGTCCCTGACCTACACTGGCTCAACAGAGGAGATACTTTGAGCAGATCTTTTTTGTTGCACAGTGCTTCAGCACAAAACTTGTGGAGACCCCGTAAGTTTAGGGAAGGGACAGCTGAGGACTAAACAAATGGGAACTGTGTTTTACATTGTGGGTGTATTGCCTGAACTTCAGTTAACTGGTTTTGTTGGGGTTTTGAATTCTGTGACTTTGTACAATCGGACATGGAAATGAGAATAGAGAATCAACAGTGAAAAGCAAAGCAAATTAAATGGAGGCTGGAGAAAGTTTGGAAGAAAGACTATTAAATTGAATTTATAATTTCAGATCTAAATAAATTGGATTAATATGTGTTTAATAATATGCTAGTAAATAAATTTCAAATAACCAAGCAGTCCAAAATTAAAAAAAAAAAGGGTGACTGTGCATGTTTTTTGTAGTGAAATGTTTAATGCAGTGGTAAACCTGCTCATGTGCTTTGCTTTTTCTCCACTTTTCTAGGAAACGAAGGCTTATCAGTGCTAGCTGAAGGAGTGGCATCACAAATGAGCCATTCTGCAAGTATGCAGCGAGGAAATGGTCACAGCCCTGAAAAAATGGACTTCATGTGTTCACATAATAAAAGAAAACGACTTGCCCCTACTCTAGTGGGACACAATGTGGTATGTTTCACCAAACAGTAGCCCTTTGTTTTGAGGCCAGTTTCCATGTTATTGGGAATGCCATTTTTCCTTCACTTTTGTATGCTCATTTGATGACATCCCAGTGAAGAAGTGTGGGTAGGAGATCCATGTAGTGCATGGAAGCTTCTAGTGAGACGGGGAACCAAAGAAACCTTAGCAGATATAGTAGATATATGAATGTGTATAAGAATTGTTTAATAATTATCTAGCTTATAATGAAGTTAAAGAAGTTTCAGTAGAGGTAGACATAGCCCAAGGGGATGAGAAGTGATGTTTAACGCTTGCATTGTTGAGGCTGGCTGGGACAGGAGATAGTCCCTGATAAGAAGCAGCAGTGGCTCCAAGAACCAGCCAGGACCGACCTTGTGATTTGGACAAATGCCAAGGGACAACTGAGTCAGCGCAAGGACAGAAGGTTAAGAGTTCACTGTGAAGAAGACATACAGCCTTCATCTTCACGACCACCAGACGACCACCATAAGGAGGCACTGTGCAAGCGCAGTTGAGAGGAGACTATGGAAATGACTTCCTAGAGCTAATTTTAATATGAAGCAGGGATAGGTAATGCCTATGTATAGGTGTATTGCGAAACTCTATGTATATGTAACACTTGACTGTATAAATTTAAAGTGAACTGCCAAATCAGGCGCGCACGACTTTGGTGGGACTACCCGCCGTGCTGCCCAGCGCTGAATGAACATACCTACTTTACAATCTCACTGATTGTGGAGTCTGTTTTCTGCACGTCACTAGCAAGAGTAAAACCTTGTTGTGCTGGATACTGTACATGTGTATAACAACAGATAGTGTACAGTGGAGAGTAACTTACACCAATTTCCCATGTAGATGCTCTTATTTTTTCAATAAAAATCTCTTTGTGCAATTTAGGATAAGAGTTGAAACTTAATGTTGAGTAAGGGTTTGCCTCCATAAACAAGTCTGTCCAAAGACAGACTACATATATTTTTAACTGAGGCAGTCTGAAGCTTAGTTCATGTCACCATATTCTTAAATTACAACAGTCTGGGTGTCTTTAATGCTATAAAAGCAGTTCCACTCTGTTTAATTCTGCCTGTTGTAAAACAAACCAACCCCCAACCTCCCCCCCCCCTTCCTTTTTTTAAAGTAAGACCTGATTAAATATTACTTAGTTAAAAAAACAAACAAACAAAAACCCCAAAACACAAACACAAAACAACAGATTTGTGAAATGTGACTTAGGGTGGATGGACAGGAACTGCTCCCATCCAGTAAAGAAAAATGTCGGAATTGTCCAGGTGGTGGCACTGTTGAGTCCTGTCTAAGAGCAGTTTTCAAGCGGTGAGAAAATTAATGTCTTTTAGACATTTTTACAGCTTCTATGTGCAGAGTTATACCCATTGAAATAAATACACTTTTTTTTTCAAATTGATTTACTTAAATTAGTGTAAAAATCTACATGGAGTCTCATAATTACATAAGCCTGGCTATATAGTACATATATAGTTAGATGAGAAAGTTCTGACCTTAGAATAACTAAATAAAAATACATATTATTGTATAAATTTGCAAGAGGTTTATGTTAAACCAGAATAAGATACTCTTAAAAGAAAATTGAGGTGAGTTTTCATATGACCTAACCACAGGCACATAAATGAGATGACTGTGTTGAGTCTCACTTTCTTGGGCCCTTTTGTAGCCAGGGGAAGGAATATAGCTACAACCGAAAGTGTCCAAGTTGGATTCCTAGCAGGTTCTCTCTGTAGTTTATATTTTGAATTCTTTTGTTATTCAAAACCTTACAATTTCTTTATGTTATTTCCCAGATGAGAACCAGGGAACGAGCATATGAAGATAGTGACAGTGTCATTTATGAGTATGAACCAGATTATGAATGTGTAAGTAAATTTTCTTTTGTTTGACCGACTGTGAAAAGCTGCTTTGGGGATGCACGTTTGGGGGTAGACTGAAATAACACGTGATGTTCAAAGTTGGGATTTATTGGCTTAATGTGATATCTTAAGACTGTGTTTATATTACTAGCTTACACTGTTTTTTATTATTTTAATGAAAAAGGGGAGTATTGTATCTGAAGCTTCCTACATTGGAGATCAGCAGAAAACTCTTATGGAGGTCCTCAGTTATTGCCAGGTATTTTTTTTTTCTTTACCTCTGAAATGGCATTTAAACAATTTTAGTTAAATTTCAGGAAGATTTGCATTCTATATTTGATAACCTATGACTTCATCCTTTCCAGTTGTTCATTTGTTAATTGCCCACTTATCTTCAATATTTTCAATGAAAAAATAATCTATGTCTTCATATTCTCTGAACTTTTTCACACCATAGCTGGCAAGAGTGCTTTTCAAATATTATGCTTTAATACAAAATGTAAAGTCTAGTGATTTATTGGGAGGGGCTTCACAGTAATGGGAAAGATCTGACAGTCACATGCATCCAGCTTTTGAAAGTACACAAGGCCTGCCAGAAGTGTGCCAAAATCCTGGTGGTGGTGTTTTGGCAAGTTCTTTGCTTTTGACTTCTGAAGCAGTAGCTGGCAAGACTGAAAATCACTGCACTGAAAATTAAAAGCATCCCATATTTATTCAGGTGAGGACTTATATGACTCTGGAGTCATAGTACTCTATAGACTGAAAGACATTCAGGCCATGCTTTAGGGAGGATAGTTTGTGAGTGGCTTGTAGCCAAGTATTAGTGTCTTGGAAGTCTCCTTAAGCGTATATTCAGCAATGCTGTGGAAGAAAATCGACTAAGTGTGACTAACATTCTTGCTGCTAGTCTGGGAATGTGTGCTGTATCAAGTAGTGCTAATGAGAAGATGTGGCCTCTTTTGCTGCCTGCTAGCCCCTTTCCATCTCCTTTACCCCGTTGTTACCACATTCTCCCAGTAAATCTGCTGTAGGGCTACATGAAGCCTTTTAATAATGCCTGTGCTGTCCACACTGATTTAAGGTTTTTTAATGCTTCCTTGAGATATTTCTAGATTTGGGGGAGATTTATAGATTCTTTTGTCTAAGGATATTTAATTTTTTTTAAAAGATAGCTATCATATTGAAACCTAACTGTTGGTTTTGATAAAATTGAAAATAATTAGAAATTCCATCTACTACAAATCCAATCTAGAAATTTTTTTCATAGCCATATGTATTTTTAAAAATTTTTGTCAAGTTATGCTGTAGATCAACAGAAGAAATTGCTTTAGTTAGTTGAAGAAACATTTCCTCTTTGTAATTCATAGTTACAATGTCCTTGTGTGTTTTTTGCAGTAATAGCTGATGATGTGTGCCTGATACATATTTTCAAGTTGGCAGTGTCTTTTCAATACTAGATTAATATTCTGTTATCTCATTACTTTATACTGTTATAACAGTATAAAGGAAGTGTATGTCTAAATTGCTGTTTGAGCATCATGCTTGAGTTGCTAAATCCTGGAAACACTGAAGAAGGAACTTTCTATGTCGCACAGTAACATATAGTAATAACTGATGGACTTTGAATGCTTTGATTTATCTGGCTTTTATGTCTGAAAATTTGGACCTTTACAACAATGCTTTAAAAAGTTTGATTGCTTTAGTAAAGCAACACAAATTTTTAACATCTGAAAGAAAACTTGACCTTGGGGATTGACTGAAGATCAGACACTTTCAATAAAATTAGTAGTTTTTTCAATTCTTTGATGGCAGCACAACCCTCTGGTGTATGAGCTGCTCCTGCCGGTCTAGTGTCATCAGCAAAATTGCTGAGGGTATCCTCTGCCCATTATGCAGACCATTAATGAAGATGTTAAACAGGATTGGACCCAGTATTGATCCCTGGGGTACACCACTAGTTACTGGCCCTCATCTGGACTTTGTGCAGCTGATTACCACTCTCCGGGCCCAGCCATTCATCCAGTCTGCAATCCACCTCACTGTCTGCTCATCCAACCTGTACATCAGCAGCTTGTCTGTGAGGATCTTATGGAATGCAGTGTTGAAGGCCTTCCTCAAGTCGAGGTAGACAATATCCGCTGCTCTCCTCATCTCCCAGACCAGTTGTTTTATCGCAGAAGTTTATCAAGTTGGACAAGCATGACCTCCCCTTGGTGAAGCCATGCTGTGACTACTCCTGATGATTTTCTTCTCCTTCATCTGCCTGGAAATGGTTTCCAGGATAGCTGCTCCGTCACTTTCCCAGAGATGGAGGTGAGGCTGACTGGCCTGTAGTTCCCTGGGTCCTCCTCCTTGCCCTTCTTCAAGACAGAGGGGTGACATCTGCTTTCATCCAGTCTTTGGGCACTTCTCCCATTTGCCATGACTGGTCAAAGGTTATCAAGAGTGGCCTCGCAATGACATCAGCCGGCTCCCTCAGCACTTGTGGGCGCATCCCATCAGGCCCCTTGGACTTAATGTATGTCTAGTTTGCTTAAGTACTGCCTGACCATATCCTCTTCTACCCAGTGTGTCTTCCTTGCTCCAGCCTTTCCCCCTGGCCTCTGGGACCTGGGATTCCTGAAGGCCAGTCTTACTCATCAAGACTGAGGCAAAGGTGGCATTGAATCCCTCAGCCTTTCCCATGTCCCGTGTCGCCCAAGGTCCCCTGTCTCATTCAGCAGCAGGCCTACACTTTCCCTAGCCTTCCTTTGTCACCTCTGTACTTCTAGAAGCCCTTCTTGTTGTCTTTGACGTCCCTGGCCACGTTCAATTCCAGTTTGGACTCTTACTTTACAGATAGTATTTTTCTAAATACATTTCCCATTGGTGATCTGGAAGTCAGTATTTTGGTGGCTGCCTGTAAGCCTTTTACCTGTGTACTTGGAAACTTATTATGCCTTAAAATAGCATATCATAATACCTAACTTGCTGTAGAGCTTGTCAGTAGCTTTTCAGTGTAAGACAAAATGCTCCAAATAGGTAAAAATAAAACATCCACTGTAAGCAGGAAGAACAACCTTTAAGTGCCAGCCACATTAAAGTTGCAAGAGTAAGCTTCTCTGAGAATTCTTTTTACTGTGATATTTACCATTCTACTTGCATTTTTGTATCTGAGTTGATCTTCAATATGCTTACAGAAAGTATATATTATCTACAGATCTTACCCAGTTTTAGGGAGGTAATTTTGTCCTTAATTGAAGTTTCTTGGATATCTTCAGATTTAAATTGGGTTCTTGTGAAACAATACTGTTTTCACTCTTATGTTTGTTGTCAGGCCATGTATGACGCCATTCAGAAATTGGATAAAAAATTTGATCTGCTTCATCGGAAGGTCTCAGAAATGCAACACAGTCGTGTAAAGCCACTGTTGCTCAAACCTGTGAGTATTAAAGACCCAAGACATTTATTTTTCCTTTAATTCTCTCACTTCCTATGATGCTTCTTTAAAAATAATCCCCTCCTTTCACTAAGATTAAAATTAGTAATAAACTAGTAAACTTAAATTCCATTTCAATTAAATTATTCTAGATTTCTTACTATATGCCAGCTTCAGTCTCCTGTGTTGTTATTGACCAGTGGTCACAGCATGGCCCCCATCACATTCAGTATGCTGTGACTGATGCTGTAAAATTCTATTTGTGTTGTAATGAACAGAAATAAATTGTGTAGGATACGTCCTAAACTTGGACTAAAACGACTAATACGGACTAATATTTAGGACTAATACGTCCTAATATTGGCGTCACCGCTTTATGAGAAGCGTTGTACGGTCTCATTGGTTTCTGCAGTTAGAAGAGAGTTTATGCATCACTCACATAGGCTGGTTCAATTGACTTACTGATTTTTAGATCTCAACAGTGTGTTGCCATATCCATTATGGTATAGAATTTTATTTTTTCTAATAAAAAGGCTTTTTTTCCAAATCTTTAAGAAGGTTTAATATTGGGTACACACTATCCATTTTGTTCCTATATGGTCAATCCACTGTTAACTAAGGAGACAGAATATTAGTACTTGTAACAATGCTCTTTAAAAGGGAAACAGAACAGGTGATTTTTGAAGAAGGTCACAAAATCTGCAATGATCTTTCTTTGTCAACAATACTGCAAAGCTTTTAATGTGGCAGAGGTGATCCTGCTGTCAGACGATGTCAAGGCATCAGTAAGGCCATTTACTTTAAGGGTGGGTGGAAGCAATGACATTCTCGTGCATGTTGATTATGAATAGGATACTAGGTTTTATTTGGGAATGCGGGTTTTTTTGACAACTCCAAGCTTGTACTGTCCACACATCCAAAAATAAGAGATTCAGGGAACAAACTGCTCATGTCAGTTACTCTTGGACCCTGTGACTTCTGTGCTCTTACCCTCCCCTCTGATCATGTAGGATGGCAGCTGCTTTAATGTTCAGATGAAAAGTGACTGCACTGTGCTTTTTTTTTAAGTGGCTTTTATCACTATATGGCGTAAGGGGGAAGTCAGCAAATGCAACCTGCCAACCATTTTTTTTTGTTCTGCTAGTACTTTATCTTTAAAACCATCAGGAATGCTGTAGATTTTTTATAGCTGTACCACTGTTGTACCTGTGATGGGCTAAGGATATAAACAAGGAAAGGTTGGTGGTGAAGGTACTATTTTTTTTTCTTATTGGATCAACTCCAATAGCTGGAGAAATGGACAAACTTTCAGGCACGTAAGCCTTTCTTCAGGTCATAGATTTTTAAAGCTTTCAGGGGTGGAATATAATCAGATTTCTGTAAAGAACAAAACAAAACAAAAAAAAACACAAAAAGAAAAACAAAACTAACAAACGAAAAACCAAATCCAAACCCACATGTGTCAATTACATTTGGTGGCTCCTGCTCAGAGACTTGTATTTTGAACTAGAACACATGCATTAGTGTGCGTATGTTTCTTAATAAAAATATTCCAAGTGGTGGAAAGTATAGCCCATCTCTCAGTTTGTCTGTCTTAGTCACTTTGGAATCTTCTGTTGTAGATGAGATCCAAATGTTCGATGTTTTCAGCTAGCAAGTAAAGAATGAAGAGGCAGCCAGGAGAGAAAGTGAATTGTTTTTTTCTTGTGTAAAAGGAAGCTAACATGGCAGTGAAGACGTGCCTTGAAAATTCAGCAGGCTGGGTCAATGGCTGACAAATTTTAAATTTTATTTTGCTTATTCGCTTTTTTTTTTTAGAGAGTTGTTTTTAAGAGCCTTTACAAAGCTGCCTTTCTCATTATATATTTCTCTGAGTTTTTAGAAAGCAATTGTGCCAGCACCCCAGGTGGGAAAAACTTGAGAAACATTGAAGCTGACCAGATTAAACTCTCAGTGTTGGAACTACAAGTGAGAATAAAAGAAAGTAGAGGGAAGGCTAAAAAGTAATAGCACTAGCTTCATGACAATGAGTACTTCAGTGAAGAGTCTGTTGCCAATAGCATAATTACTAAAATCTAGTCTTACTGGTTTGCAAAAGAAAAAAATGACCAGATATGTCTAATTTAACCTTTTAATTGTTTTCTGAATCACATTTGCAGAAACCAGTTGGATTTACATACAGAAGTTCCAGTCATTTGCCCCAAGGGAAAACAAGAGTACAAAAATCCATGGAAAGGGAATCAGGTCTTCATCTCTCTTCACCAGGTCAGGGAAGGCATAGCCCAGTCATAAGGGTTGCTTTACAAAATGGTCACGTTCAGGTCAATTCCACAATAAAACATGTTCAACAGAGTCTTCAGCTTGAATCGCAGCAGCCTGTTCGTAGGCAGAGCCCACCACTCCCCACTATAGTTTCTACACATTCATTGCATTCATCATACGCAGCAACTAAAAGGATGCCTGACCTTTCTCCGCGATCAAATCTTGTAGCCAGTGTTATGGAAAGTACTGTCAACATTGCATCTTCACCAGTGGCATTGTCATCGATGCCAGCACCATCTGAGACCAGTCTGGGAAATAATACTGTGGTGGTGAACTACAGAAATGCATCTGGGAGTGTGAACATTAGTAAAGAACTACCATCTTCTTCAGTCTCCATCAATCCTAGCGTTGGTGAGTTCCTTTTTCATAAATACTCAGAAACAAAGGCTAAAAAATTGCTGCTAATATAAAAAAATACGCGTAAAGAAATCTCTTTATCGTTATTTAGCAAAAGTAAAGGAGCAGAATTGGCTGCCTTACAAGCATTATTATAATGGAGTACTGTTTACAACTCTTGAAACAAAGGTTATAGGAATATTTAATATGGCAGGCATCACTTAAAAACCTCTGCAGTGTATATACAGTTGTATAGACTATTGATTTACAGTACGTGTTTTGGGTTCTTTTAAGACTAAGCCCTCTTTTTCTGTCTTGATACACTTGATTTAACCTATTTTTAACCTGTGTGTATAAGCAATGTATGCATATGTTTAAAACGACAAAAGAGATTGCTGGTAAAGCTAAGTGAAGTATATGCCTGTATATATGTTTTGCATTTAAGAAAGCAACTTGATTTGTATGAAGGAAATGTCTGTTTTCTTCTTGTGGAGGATTTTATCAGTGAAAAATCCTTTCTATCCTCAAATCCTCCAGTGTTTGGTTTCTTTCAAAATACTTAATTCCACAGAAAGTGAAGAATTCCATAGATCACTGCATTGTAACAAACAAGCACATGTAAAATAACACCATGTTTTAAAAACTAACGTGCATCTTTCTAAAGTATAAATGCCCCGAGTTATGTGGAAGGCTGAGCTATGAGTTTTTCGTCTAAAAAATAAGGTCATACAGCTGAAGAGCTGCCCGAATAGTAGGTGAAATACTCAAGACACCTATCTGCAAATTTGTAAACAGTGTATGATTTAGCAGTACTATGTATGGATATGCCTTTCTTCATGCGTCATTGTCTTGAAAACATACATGGTATCTGCACATGTGTAAAACAGGCCAGTCTAAACATTTTGGACTCTTACGTGTCTAATGTATTTTCTTGGGTGTTGTTATTTCAGTTAGTTACAGTACTGGTTAACGTGAATCAAAAATATATTTCTGTTACCATTCCAATTTAAAGCTGCTTTTGTAAGAGCAAAGATAAGTAATAAATAGTAGAATTACCTGTGGTAGAGAACATACACCAAGAGTACCATAGAGGTCAAGAGAAGGAGTTTGAAAAAGTGTTCTTTTTTTAACAACTTGCTTGGGTTTTTAAATTTTTTTTTTTCTTTACGTGTTTTTGTTTTCCAAAAGAGTTTGTTGGTGACCCAGTGAGAAATGTAAAAGTTCTTGGAAACTATTTGATGAAAGCTCGGCAAAAGACTAAACCAAAGTATGCAGCGCGCTACTTGGTTCGTGTCTTGTTCCCCAAGGAAACATTATTGTGCAGCATTATGGGAGTGAGTGCACGAGGGCGCAGAACATTGGATCCAAACAAAATTGCTGCAATAAGAGGTATGCTACCTTTCAAAATGCACAGATTTACTTCTTTAATACTTACAGAGTTTTTAACTTGCAATGAGTCATTTCTGTATGTTTCTGCTAGTCGTTGTCTAGCAACTGGTTGAACTGATAAATGCGGGTAGTGGATGTGCTCTACTCTGTGTCTTTTGATTTTGAAATTCCTACTCATCAATGGAAATTCCTTCTCACCCTCAATGTTCATTTTTCTTCAATGTGGATAAAACAATTCTAATTTCTCCTAGTTTTGTGTACTTCAGGTTCATCAGTCATGCTGACTGTTCCTAAATTTTTCGTTATGACTTATTTTGTGTTTGTGTGTGGCATGGGTTTTGTGGAGGTTTGGTTGGTTCGTTTTTTGTTTGGGGTTTTTTTGATGGCCATAGTTTACTTGGGACGAACATTAACTGGTGATTCTTAAATACCCTTCTCTTTCTCTTAAGTTTGCTTCTCTCATTTGTTTGAGAAATGGTGAAGATGGGGAGGGCATTTTTTTTTAAATGTCAAGCCATTTACACAGATCCCATGGTATGTATGTGTGAACCTATATATCTCCTTCCTGTTTAAAGGGTCGGAGATTATTTAAGCCATGTGAAGTAGTTGCAGCATCAGCATTACCCTGTCTCTTTTTTTTTGTGTAGTTTGGGTTTTTTTTTTTTAAAGTTAGTCTGAGAATCACACCTTACCCCTAGTTCTACTAGGAAATGCTTAATAACAAAAGCATTATTCACAACACCTCAAAAAAGTATCACTGCACATCTTAAATTCATAGTGCTGCTTAGTTTCAAAATGTGAGTTTACTATCTCCCTTTAATTAAAGGTGGAAATCTAAAGCTTCTAAATGGAGAACAGTAAACGTGACGCACTTAGCTTTCTCTCTTTCTTTCTAAATTAGAGTAGTTTTAAATACCGCTTTTTGTCATGAAGCTTAAAAAATTTTCTATGTTTTATATGCAGAATTTCTTGCAACTAACTTTCCAAACTATGATTTGAGTGAGCATGGAAAAGACTGGAAAACCTGTATCACGAATGTCAATGCTATGATCCGCTGTTTACGCTCTGAAACAAAAATAAACCCAGTAAGTTGTCTCAAGGTGATAATTTATTAAGTACTAAGTTCATGCTTCTTTCTCACATTAATTATTTGAACTCCTCATCATACGAGTGCTCTAATTGGAAATTCCTTGGGTTCTGTCTTTGCATTGCTCAGCATAGGCCTGTTGACTGCAGCACTCATTCCATATGGGGAATACTGGAAGCATACCCCTTTCTCTTGCTCTGCCTCTTCCTGCTCCTGTGTCCAGCATTCAGTGAAGAGACGTATAAGCATAGGATACTAAAATGAAAGCACTGTAAATGTTGCCCAGAAGTAGTGTCAAATTTGATTGCAAGCTTAAACATGTAGCTGCTAGCACTGTTTTCACAGGCTTTCCTTCAAATATATCCAGCCATGCATTTCAACTTTATATTGACTGAAACATCACTCCCAAAACATCTGTAACTCCATTCACCTCTGCTTCTAAAAAGCTTTGTGCAAATCTGTGAATATTTAGTATCTGTTTCACCTGTGGTTTTTGTGATTGAAATTATAAGAGTAACTATATTGTAAATATCTGGAATCTAATTTATACTAAATGGGAAGTGAACTGGAACACTAATTAGAAAACTGGTAGGCTTTCCCAGTGCATGTGCTAACCTCATTTAATGTTTCAGGAGACACCTGAAGGGAAAGAAAAAGTGGCTGACACTCCAGATACATCTCATTGTGTAGATTTGAATTATAATGAAGTTAGTGAAGGCAGTTCGCAAAACTCTCAGAAGATGACCAGCTCCGCAACTGACACATTGCAGAATTCAGGATTGGATAAGTTTCCAGAAGCTTTCCACACACCTGCAGTCAAGAAACCACAGTCTTTGGAACCTATGGGTAAACTAAGAAATTTTCACCTTATGGATTTGTGTGTTGCATTGTAAATGGTCAATGAGATGTGGAAGATGCTGCTGTAGGTGAAATTGTGAAAGGGATTTGCTGAAATATGTGGCTTTTCCTCTTAAGGCAGTCACTTGCTTTATATATAGTAAGTATTCATGGGAGCAAACAAGAACGTTATCTGGCTAACAGAACATGTGTTTTCATCTACCAGTGTCCCATAATACCTATCTACTGTAAGATTGGAAAGTTCAGCTGTAAGATACTCTGTTCAGTTTCTCTGAATAATTATTTTTCCAGAATTATTTCACAGTTGCCCTGGTTTTTTTTTATTTGGTAGATATTCTACCTTAATGGAGTAAGCTAGCTCAGAATATCTATTGAATGGTACTGCAATTTCAGAAAAGCACACCTTTCTGTAAAACTGACAATTTAGGACAACAAAAATCTTAAACCAGCCTTTATAGGTTTTTTTTTTCCCATAAAAATGCACAATATACAAATGCATTGGGAAAAATTCCATGTACAGCACGTGATGCCTCTAGAAAGCTTCAAGGAAAATGAGTTGAGATTAGTTCCCCTTGGAAATTATTTATTTTATTAGAATCACTTTGGAGCTCTATCAGATCTGCCTCTGCACCCAAAATTTGTTAGTCTGATCCCACAGACCTCCTGATTTAGTATACATTTTGTGGTTTTGTTGTTTTTTGGTTTTGGTTTTTTTTATGTTTGCAGTGAAGTCATGTTGAAGTAGTTAAAAAATATTCACTCTGTTTTTCAGTTTCCACTTACAGGATCTAAGCACCATTGAAATAGCAGAACTTTTATTTACCTATGTAATTGGAAAAGCATCATCTTTTCATGTGAGATGAAAACAATTTAGAAAGCAATCATTAATAATGCAGGTTACATTGCTAGCGTTGCTGAAAGCATATCAGAAGTGCTGTTACATTGTTGTAAAAGAGCCGGGTGGGGGTTGGCTTCTTGGACATTTGTCCACAATGTGTTGCGTTTTAGTATTAGCTGTAGCATTATGGTTATGCTCTGGTCTTTCCAAGCAAGTACAGTAGTTTTAGGGAGAACTTTTTGTGTCCTAGTTTTATTGTAATACAGCCTCTTCGAAGCATGATCAGTACTGGATAAGTAAAATTTCTCTCTCTCTCTGACATCCTTTCTAGAACTTCTTGGAAGTCCATGGCGCAATGTTCAGTTGCCTTTCTCAGTCATTTACGTAGCTAAGGGGAAGTCTCGGCCAGAGTTGTCAGCTCGCTACTTAATTCGTCATATGTTCACTGAAGATGTGCTGGTAAAAAGCAATGTATATGGTAATCTTGATCGTGGTATGAGCCCACTGGACTGCAACAGAATTAATGCTCTCAGAGGTAAGTAAGAAAAATATCTGTTCAAAGTGATAATGTGGGGAGATTAACAAAAGCAATTAACTTTGTATCCTATGAACAAACCATGGAGCTTCAGAAGTAAGTCTGTGAAACTGTTCTGCCAGGTATTAGTGCAAGCAGTGGAACAAGTTGAGAGAAAGTAGATGAAGTTATATTTAAGCAACTCAGGGAAGTCTTAGGGCTAGGGGGAAGTCTAGTCCTTCTGTAGTCTCAGGGAAGGGGCTAGGTAGGCCAACCTGTGGTAATGCACAGCAGGTTACGGAGCCCTTCACAAAAAGCTTTGGGGTGTGATAATTGGTGGCAGTATTGCCTGTAGAGACTATGAAATAATGGACCTGAAGATTCTTAGTAGAGTTAAAATCACCTGAGAGTACAGACCCTGTAGCTTAAGAGAGCAGACTTTGGCTTATTTGGGAAACTGATAGGTTGGAGCTTGTGAGAGATGGCTCTGAAGAGGAGAAGCTCAGGAAAGTTGGTAGGTCTTTAAGGACAGCATTCTACAAGCACAAGAGAGTCCACCCTGACACTTAGGAGAACTGGTAGAGTTATGTGGAGACAAGTTTGGCTAAGCAGTGAATCCATAACTGAGCTCCAGTGCAAAAAAGCAGTATACAGAGATTGGAAGCAAGGACAGCTTATGAAGCAGAATTCAGCAACTTTGCCTGGGAGTGTTGGAATGGTGTCAGGAAAGCCAAAGCTCAGCTAAAATTGAGACTTGCAAGGAATGTCAAGGGCAGCAAGAAGAACTTTTACCACAACATTAATTATAAAAGATTGAGCAAGGAGAGTGTGGGCCTGTTGCTGAATGGGGCAGGTAAATTAGTGACAACAGAGTCAAATTACGCTGAGGTGCTCAGCGCCTCCTCTACTTCAGTCGTCACCATGAAAGTCTCTCAGGCTTCTGGGCGGTGGTGGTGGCTGGGAACAGTCAGTGTGTTTTTACCTGGGGTAAATCGTGTTTGACTTGCCTGATTGCCTTGTGTGATAAAATGACTGGATTTGTGGATGAGGGGAGAGCTGTCACTTAGCTTGATTATTTATTTTTTTTTTTAGCAAGGCTTTCAACACTGGCTCTGGCAATATTTTGGTATTCGTGTTGGGATGTTACAGTTTGGATGGGGGGACAACATTAAAGAACTAGATGGATGTTTGCGCTCAGAGGGTAGTCAGTCATGCTCTACTTGGGTGACTGACACATGGGGTACTGCAGGGGTCTGTCCTGGTACCTGGCCTGTTTAACATCTTTATCTATGACTTGGAGACAATGGAGAAAACTCATCTGGTTTGCATTTGACACCTAATTGGGACTATATTAACAGGTGCACAGCCAGCAGATCAAGGGAAAGGATTATCTCTCTCTGTTTAGCACTCCTGAGTTTGTATTTGGATTACTGTGTCCAATTTTTGGGTCCCCTAGTACAGGAAAGAGATATCGATAAAGCTGGAGGGCCACCAAAAGGTACAGGGAACCAGAGCACCTGCCCAGTGAGGAAACTGGGCTTATTTAGTCTGGAAAAGAGAAGGCTCTAAGAGAACCTAGTAGCAGCCTGCCACTACCTGTCTTCTCAGTAGACTCTCCGTAGAGTCAAGCTGTTCACAGCATTGCATGTGGGAAGATGAGAGAGAACAGGCATAAATGGAAATGAAGGGTTCCAACTGGATATGAGCAGGCTGCTTTTCCGCATGAAGACAGTCAAACAGCAGAGCACGTTGCCCTGTGAGGTTGTGCCATCTCTGTCCTTTTTCCACATCTCAGGGGACAAAGCCCTGAGCAACCTGGTCTGACCTCAGAGTTGTCTCTGCTTTGGGCAGAAGGTTGGAGTAGAGACCTCTCGAGGTCCCTCACAGCCCGAGTGACTGTGAGCAGAAAGGAACAGATTCAAGTGCCTTGCTCTTCGAAGGGCTCAGGGGTCAGCTCTCCCTATTCACCTAAGAGGGTCCATTGAGAGAAAAGGTGTCAGCAAATGATTTAGTTGTTTAGAAGCTACAGGTGGGATAAGGACTGCCGCCAAGTGAACAGGCAACATTTTGAACTAGACCAGTTTGAGCTGTTTGAATAACGAATCTTTACTGAAGATTTATCTTTTCAAATAACGTGTAACAGCCTATTCCAGTGTATGAATATGGACAGTTTTGCAGTTTCCTCAGCTTACACGAATCCAGGATGTCTTCAGGAAATTAGTATTATTTATTCTTTTGCAAGTACTATTCCAGAAGCAGAGGGTGGGTATGTTATGGTTCGAGTTGTAGCAGATGTTTTGCCTTCTGCATTGTTCTTGCTTCGGCATTAAGATTTCTGGAACACTGATCCATGCTCCTTCCTGAGAGGGAGTCTTCTGTTAGTCTCATTTGGTCCCTCCTGCAAGGCTGGATAAAGTAAGTAGAACTGTGACAGCAGAATTAGCATAACAGTTAAGTAGCAAGTGAGGAGGAATGTGAAGCAGGTTGTAGGTAGAAAAGGTGTATGGTTTATCACACAGAAGACAAGTTGGCATTATCTGGTAAGATTTAAGCATGGCCAGCACAAACAATGGTGTTGGGGGAAAGATCATCAGGTTTTTGTTGGCCATTTGCTCTGTGGTTATTACAGTATCTTAAAGAGAGAGTTCAACACATTTGATAAAGGTTTGGTCACGCAATATAGAAATCTTTCCACCATTTCTTTAATTTTCTGTGTTTTTGTCATATTTTCTTTGTTAAGTTGGCTTTTTCTATGAGAAATCTGAAGAGAAAATCCTTTGCCAGGAATTCTCAAGTTTTGCTTGTGGGATGTTGTTTACTGGGCTAGATCCCAGGCTGCAGGCAGTGTAATAGTGGAGTGCCTTCAGCATTTCCCGACACCACTGGCTTAATGTAGGGTTTTACTTCCTCCTGTGTCCTTATGATATCACTGTGGGATAGTGCTCACTGGGTTAGTAAGGTTGCATATTTGACTAGTTACTCTTGTCTGGACAATACTCTTAATCATATGATTTAGTTTTAGATAGTCCTGCAAGGAGCAGGGACTTGGACTCGATGATCCTTATGGGTCCTTTCCTACTTGAGATGTTCTATGATTCTATGATTCATCATACTTTTTAGAAATGTGCATCTTCTAACAAATCTTGAAACTCCTTCTCCTCCATGTCTGGAGTATAGGGAGGTTGAAAGGGTTGTTAAAATCTGGACAGTGCAGCCTAGCAGCTCCACAGGTGTGGCAAGATTGCCTCGAAGGATACAGCAATAGTGCTAAATAAAATGGACCTGGGACTTGCACTCTCTGGGGTGATGTCTGGGCATGGCTTGAGGGACAGAGCGTGCCAGAAACCTGTCCCAGTATGGCAAGGCTATACATAAGAGCGGGCTTTCCGAAACTGTACATATTACTTCACCACTAGCCTGGGAAGCTTTGCCACTTTAAGCATCTCCACATACTCCTATAGTACACATATTTTGTTTCATGACATTTTGAGCTCAAGAAGCATTCAAAAGGTGTATTAAGTGTGTCTTAGGGCTGCAGGAACACCATGTAGGGTCCAGAGCAGATGAGAAAGTCTTCTGTGTTGTGGTTGCAGCCAGGCCATGTCACTTGGCTCTGGGGCCAGAGGGGAGTCCCTGGCCCTGTTTTCTTTAACATTATAACATAGTCTGATTGAATGGCAGCATCAGCTCCTGGAATGTAATCCTGCAGAGCAGGAAGGGGCCCCACATATCCTTACTGTAGTCCCAACAATTCATCAATTTCTGTGAAAGAAAAGGTGTAACTTAAAAGCTGTTTTGTAGGCCATGTACAAAGGCTCTGCAGGCCTGGTAGTAGGAATTCGTGCTCCGTGCTGTAGCTCTGAGGCCAACATTTTCTTGAAGTTGCTGTTGGGGATGGAGGGGAAGAGAGCCTCGCTGCTGCTTCAGCCAACAGCTTGTGTATCCTTTGTCAGCATAGTTTATTACAGGAGCATCCTGGGAATGAAAGAAGCTAAGGTGCTCTCACTTCCCCCCCACCCCCCCCCCGAGCAGAGTTAACATCAAGAGCAGAAGTTTTTTTCTCTGTTATCTTCTTCCTTCAGACCCATGCTTTTCTGGCAAAATAGGTTTCCAGGTTTGGAACTACAAGTTAAAATATCAACTGTAAACAATGATACTTTATTAGATCTTTACTTGGTAGTACATGTGAGAGCAATGGAAAAACAAAAGTGACGTAATATCAAATAGCTATGCCTTTCATTCTACTAAGGTAAATCTAGATGTTAATCATAAAGTAGAAATAGTATTGCCTTTGATTTGAAATTACAGCTGAGAATTCCTTTTGGGTGCTTATCTAAATCTTTTAGGGGCTTGCTTAGAGAAAACATGTAATTCAGCTAAGCTCAGAAGGACAATCCTCAGTAATTAAAAAAAAAAAAACAAAAAAAACCAACTAAAGTCTGCTTCTAAAACTGCTCATTTTACTTTTTGAAGGGGAGAAAGGTGCTGTAGTCTTACGTTATTTATCCCATTGCTACCAAACTCAAGTATTTGTTTACCGATCTTGTTCCAGTATGGTAAGGAACAAGCTCTTGTGGTTTTTCTGTCACTGTTGTTCCTCTACAGCTGTGTTATGTTGAATTGCTGTATTTCATTTTAGTGAATGTAGTTGTCAGAGATCCTCTGAAGGAGGGCTTGGTCCTGCCAAATATTGGTCATTCTGAAATGGAGCCTGAGATTTCTTTGCTCTGGTTGACCACATTAGAAGCTGAAGTTATTCAGTACTTTAAGGAATCAAGCCCATGTACACGGTTACGTGTTTTCTTTGCATATTTTGTTTTTATGTTTAGACTTTTTGTTACTCTTTCTCAAATTAAATGGAAAGAGGGGGCAAGAGTATCTGCCCTTTAGCTTTGCTCTTCAAGCCTCACAATATGCCTAGCTGTCCTGTTTTGGTAGCATGCACTTGTTCTGGCTTAATTACACCCAAAAAGAGTACATAGCTTGCATAAATAATTGATAACTTGCTATTATATTCTTTATTTTCAGACTTTCTTCAAGAGAATTATCCATCCTTTGATCTAAAGGAAACTGGATACGATTGGAAGGCATGCGTGGCTGCCATAAACAGCACAATCCGCAGTCTCAGACATGACCATAAAAAGGCTGCAGTTGGAATCCGCCAGAAAGTCTTGGCAGTGCCACCATTGAATGCAAAGAGTCCTCCACAGAGTCCCACTTCAGTAAAGCCATTTGAAAGTGACACTATCAATCTCACGGACTGAAGCTTTCTAACATCTGTCTCAAATCTTAATTTAGCAGGTTTTTATAAATCCCATGTAGAAGCCTATTACATCGAGTTGTCCTATTATACTGAGTTGTCAGAAGCACTAAATAGTATTATTTCATGAGATCAAAGTTAGCAGAAGAGTTGGGAACCCTAACTCCTTGTATAAGTAGCACTTGTGCTCCTCAGAAATTACTTCCACTGTTACCTGTAGCATTTGCAATGTGCTCTCCCCTAAAAGCACCTTCTTCTCGTGATTCATTGACTCTGAAAAATTGATCTGATTAGAAAAGATGCACTGCACGTAAAGTCAGCTGAAGCAGATAGAAATGTGGAGAGGAAAGAATGGTCCTCCTTGGAGGAAGACTCAGAGCCATCTAAATTATCTCATTATGTATGAAGAATGAAATTTGCTTTGACAATTGGTTATTGTAAGCAAAAGTATCTAATGCAGAAAGGAAAAAAAATTATTGCATCTAGCTAACTTGTTATGTATCTCTCACTTTTTTTGCCTCCTATAGCAGTCTTTGTTGTAGGATAAGGAAAGAGGCAGACAACAATGTAAGTACAGTTGGTAATATTTTCTTTGCTCTGATTTAGCTCTACAAAAGCACAAAAAACCATGCAGAACAAACAGTCCAATGGTTGGTTCTGTTTTTTCTTGATGAAAATTAAAGAAAATACTTTTCAGGGGCTTGCTGTACTGTTCACTGGCATATGTCTCATCCACTGGTACTGAAGTCCACAAGATGCAAATCTGCTGCAGCTTCCATCTCGAAGATTTGGATCGCGATTTAGATTTGAGAAATAATAATTTCTGTCAGCTTCAAGTCATTGGTCCTTCAGTTAAAACTGAGGACACGTGCTGTACTGTTGGTATGCAGTCAGAGATGACCAGCATCACTGGTATGCCTTCTCAATCTCATAATCATAGCTTTTCATACTTGGGTCTACAAGGCTAGGCATGTTTGCTTTGCTGTCTGGGTAGGCTGCTGTTCTAGAGACTTGTCATCCTGCCTTTGTTAACTTAAAACCTTGAAAGATGTGCAGTAATTATTCACAGAATGGTTGAGGTTGGAAGGGACTTCTGGATCCACTCCCCCTGCTCAAGCAGGGCCACCTAGAGCCCATTGTCCACCACCATGTTGAGGCAGCTTTTGAGTATTTCCAAGGATGAAGACTTTACAACCTTCCTGGGCAACCTGTGCAAGGGCTCAGTCACTGTCACAGTAAAATGTTTCCTGATGTTCAGAGGGAACCCTCTCTGTTTCAGTTTGTGCCCATTGCCCCTGGTCCTGTCACTGGGCACTACTGAGAAGAGCCTGGTTCTGTCCTTTTGGCTCCATCTTCTTTGCAACCTCCCCTCAAGTATTTATATATGTTGATGAGATCCCCCTTGAGCCTTCTCCAGATTGAACAGTCCCAGCTCTCTCAGCCTTTTCTCACAGGAGAGATGCTCCAGTCCCTTCATCATCTTTCTTTGTGGCCCTTTGCTGGACTCTCTCCAGTATGTCTGTGCCTCTGTTGTACTGGGGAGCCCAGAGCTGGACCCTGTATTCCAGGTGTGGCCTCACCAGTGCTGAAGAGAGGAGAAGGATCACCTCCTTTGGCCTGCTGGCAACATCCTCCTACTGCAGCCCAGGTTACCATTAGAATTCTTTGTGGCAAGGGCTTATTGCTGGCTCATGTTTAGCTTGGTGTCCACTAGGACATCCTAAGGTACACTCTGCCCCATCATCTATATCATTAATGAAGATGTTAAACGGGATTGGACCCCGTATTGACCCCTGGGGTACACCACTAGTCACTGGCCTCCAACTAGACTTTGTGCTGCTGATGATCATCCTCTGGGCCCAGCCATTCATCCAGTCTGCAATCCACCTCACTGTCTGCTCATCCAACCTGTACATCAGCAGCTTGTCTGTGAGGATCTTATGGAATGCAGTGTTGAAGGCCTTCCTCAAGTCGAGGTAGACAATATCCGCTGCTCTCCTCATCTCCCAGACCAGTTGTTTTATCGCAGAAGTTTATCAAGTTGGACAAGCATGACCTCCCCTTGGTGAAGCCATGCTGTGACTACTCCTGATGATTTTCTTCTCCTTCATCTGCCTGGAAATGGTTTCCAGGATAGCTGCTCCGTCACTTTCCCAGAGATGGAGGTGAGGCTGACTGGCCTGTAGTTCCCTGGGTCCTCCTCCTTGCCCTTCTTCAAGACAG